GCAACAACCGTCGATTCCAAGAGAAAGAAAACAAAGGTGAGGAAAATAAGAAGGTTGTTTGCTATGATTGTGACAAACCTGGTCACAAGAAAATCGAATGTCCCAATAAGAAAAAATTCTTCAAAAAGAAAGCTCTACAAACCACTTGGGATGAAAATGATGATGAGCAAGAAGAAAATGAAAGTCAAGATGAGATTGCAAACATGTGCTTCATAGCCATTGAAGATGAGGTAAACACAAATGACACTCATTCTTACGATGAACTGTCTACTTCATATGATGAAATCATCGAAGCTTTTGAAAAACTTGCTCTCAAACATTCAACCCTAAAAAAGAAACACTTTTTATTGAAAAATGAGACAAAAAAGATTTTAGAAACTCAAAAGGAGTTTGAGAAAGAAAAGGATGATCATGAATCTTTAATCAAAGAAAATGTTTCTCTAAAAGAAAAAGTCCTAGATTTAACCAACATTGTGCACAAATTCACTCGAGGAAAGAAAAACTTTGAGTTAATGCTTGGAAAACAAAAATGTGTTTTTGATAGAGGGGGAATTGGATACAAACCCTCTCTAAAGCAAAAATCTCTTAAAAACATATTTAAACTTTGAGTTAATGCTTGGGAAATAAAAATGTATTTTTAATATAGGAGGAATTGGATACAAACCTTTTCAAAAGCAAAAATCTCTTGAAAATATATTTGTAAAGCTTCTACTCCACATGTAGCTTTTAATTGCTTAATAAAAAAGAAACTATACTTTCGATGAAATAAGTGGGTTCAAGGGTCCACTGGCACTAACTACCAAGGACCCAAAGTTGAATGGGTACCAAGATAAAAAATTTGAATCAAATCTTGTAGACGTCTTCAAAGATAAAGAGCAATTGGTTCTTGAATAGTAGTTGCTCAAAACATATGACTAGAGACGAAACACTGTTGTCAAATTTCAAAAGAAAGGATGGGGTCATGTCACGTTTAGAGATAATGCCAAAGGAAAAATCATTGGCACTGGAAATATTAGTAATTATTCATCTCCTTCTATTGAAAATGTTTTGTAAGTAAATAATCTGAAAAACATAATTTGCTAAGTATTAGTCAACTATGTAATTTATTAGTCAACTATGTGATAAAGGTCATTATATCAAATTTGATTCTTCAAAATGCCTTATTAAGGATGCAACATCGAAAGAGGTATTGTTCATAAGAAGTCGAAGTAAAGATGTCTATGTCATTAACATTGAATTTGAAAAGAATTGAAATGTTTGTTAAGTTTTAAAGATGATACTTGGTTATGGCGTAGAGGATTAGGCCATGTTAATATGGACTTAATTTCAAAAATCTCAAAAAATTGCTTGATTAAAGGTCTACCAAATTTGAAATTTGAAAAGGACAAAATTTGTCATGCTTGTCAATTTAGAAAACAAACAAAAAGTT